TTAACAAAGGTGTGTTTGATCTGAATTAAGGCGAGGGGCTAGTGGGGTGCTGGCTACTGTAAGCACTATTGTAGCACTGCAGGTTAGCTAGGGTCCCCCAATAGTCACTGGGACCCACACTTTGGAGCAGCTGCCTGTGGCTAAGGGGACTGATGACTAACATCCTGGATTCCACACTGAATTTCTGCTGTCGATTCGTGAGGATGGCACGCCACCTGGTGGCGAGAGTCCTCCAGCGAGCCTGGGGAGAGGTGAGGCGCTCTGCCTCAGCCTTGGAACCTGAGAAGAGGAGGCAATGACCTCCAGGCTGGTTGGGAGACAGAAGCCAAGAACAAGCTCCATGCCATTGGTTGGCTGGGCCAGAGTAAGTTCCGTTTATTCAGCCATTCATTCACTCCACACAGCTGGCTCCTTCCTATTTTTTGGGACCTGCCCCGTCACCTTTCCCTTCCACTCCCCATTTCTTCATAAGCGGACCTAAATTTGGTGGGGGAGGGGGGTACATACTATTCGATCCATTGCAGTTTCAGAAACGTTTGGAAAGCAGTTTGCCTTCTGTTTCTTCAGGAATGACTGAGATTGTCTTCAACTCCAAATAGGAGAAGACAAGGAACCCGTGTTTCACTGGGGATACCTCTTCCCAGGCCAAGGTGTGAGCAGATTTGGTGTCTGGTGAGAGCCTGCTTCCAAGTTCACAGACAGTATTCTCACTGTGTGTGTTTTTAATACTTTTTATTTTTTAAATATATTTTTATTCATTCAGAGAGGGAGGAGTAAGAGATAGAAACATCGATGAGAGAGAATCATTGATTGGCTGCCTCCTACACGACCCACACTGGGGATACAGCCCATACCTGGGAATGTGCCTTTGGCTGTAATAGAACATGGGACCCTTCTGTCTGCAGGTAGAGGCTCTCTATCCACTGAGCCAAACCGGCTAGAGCTTCTCACGTGTTCTCACAAGGCAGACAGAGCTCTCTGGGCTTCTTCTGTAAGAGCACTAACCCCAGTCCTGAAGGCTCCTCCCTGATGACCTGAGCACCTCTCAAAACCATCACATTGGACAGACTTAAAAATCACTGGTTGGCTGCCCCAGTGTTGCTGAGCAGCTCCTCCCTGATGCTGGACAGGTGGACCTCCTGACACAGCTCTGGGGAGTGCCCAGCTGTTGTGTGAGGACCTGCAGTGCCTGGAAGGTCTCTCTGGTTCATGCTCAGATCATGCCAACCTGCTGCCAGTGTCTAAGGCATTCTTGATTGCTAGGCATAGAATTGGGCTTGAGCTGGCAATCACATGGACCAGCACCCTGCACACAGCTCCTCTGCCTTTGAATCCACTGGGGACACATATGGCTGCTGTGGCTGAGGGCTAAGATATGGGTGGGCAACTTGATGCCTAGATGGGGCAAACTACTGATATTTCCCATCAGTCACATAGGTTGTCAGGTCATGGCTCTGAGTGCAGGTCACCCACACATGAGGCTCTCACCTCAGATGGGGCAGACAGAGCAGCCAGTCCACCTTCCTCTGCATGAAGAATTCGGACTCACAGCTGAGCCCAGGCAGCATGTCTCCCTCCCAGCAGCCCACAGGAGTCTTGTTGGACATGGGATCCGGGTGTGGAGGATGCCTTGCCTAGTCCTCCGAGGGGGTCCCAGACCCCCTGCAGTGACCGTGGTGTATAACACGGAGCCTGGGGCGTAAGGCAGGCTGTTCATCTTGACTTTCCATTTGCTCTTCACCCAGCTGTTGCCACAGGGCAGTGTACAAAGAAAATCCGTTTTATTTATAGAGGTGGGTGGAGTTTGCTCACAGCGACTTCTCTAGCAGGGGACAATCAAACCTTACACATCGAGCAGGCCATGGGTGTACAAGCTGAAATTGCCCTCAAACAAAAAAACTCGGCCTAGCTCAGTGTTTGAACGTCAGTCTATGAATCAGGTCACCAGTTGCGGGCTTGATCCCCAGTGGAGGGTGTGTAGGTGGCAGCTGATGAGTGAATCTCTCTCATCATTGCTGTTTCTATCTATCTCTCCTCTCTCTTCCTTTTCATCTCAATAAAAATATATTGAGGAAAAAACCCCCCAAAAACCTATTAGGACCCTATCAGCAATCTATTGAAAATGCTCCTGGGTATCATACATGAATCAGCTAATAACAGTGGTCAGCAAACTGCGACTCTTGACCCGCATGTGGCTTGTGAGCCGCAATTTGCCAACCACTGAGCTAATACAACCATCACAGTAACTGGAAGGGGAGTGGCACCATTCACAGCTGAGGCAGCTGAGGCAGAGGGGAGAGAGGTCACGTGCCCACAGGCATGTGGCTGCTGCTCTGTGGCGGTCAGTATTTGAACCCAGGCCAGCCCAAGCTGAGCTTAAGCTCTTCACCAGGAAGGATGAATCACAGCCTTGCTCTTCACAGTGTGGTGCCGGCCCAGCGGCACCATGTCACCTGGGAGCTTGTTACATGGCAGCATGGGCCCCGCCCAGGCCTGGAGAGACCTTGGGTGCTCTGTGTGCATCATTTCTGTTGGTTTTACCATGTCTTCCCTGTGCAGGCTGGAACCACCAAGTCCACCTTCTTGGGCCACATATTTCTCTGAAAATGTTAGAATGTGTCAGAAAAGAATTGGGTTCAATGGCCTGGGTTAATTCCCCAAACATCTCCCTGGTTTGATGGTTTTAAAATACTGCCACTAAACAAGCACTTTCAGAGGCTCAAGCAAAGCCGAACAGCTCAGGGCGCCTTCGCCTCTGAGAAGTGGACATCTGACCGTGCTGTGAACTGCAGTGATCACGATTAACTCCCGGCTCCACTTAGAGGAAGCTGCAGGTCCAGCAGCTCAGACATAAAAGCATTTGTCCTAATGCGCCAAGTGAAAGGTGTGGCAACGCTATTGCTTGGTGCCAATTCCACTTACGGCTTGTCCCCAGGAGTGCTAGGAGCGTGGCTGCCGGTGCTGACACATGGCCGGCTGGGGCTGTGCAGTGGGGTTCTTTTCCAAGACTCATTACCAATATGTCCTGTCGTGTTCTGTGACTCAGCCCCATCCCACTGAGTCTGAGTAGCACCCCTGGAAAACGGAAGTGGCTCGAAGGCTAAGCTCCTGAACACTGCATGCGAGGCTGAGGGTCCTGCCACCATGCAGGCTCAGCTCAGGTCTGGGCCGGGCTGCTGCTATTCTACAAGCTCCCAGTCGGGCCCACCGCTGCTGCCTGTGGGCATGTGGGAAGAGCATGGCCATCGGGATCAGCTGGGCTCGGGTTCTGAGCTTGACTCTGCCACCTGGTAGCTGTGTGATTTTGAGCAAGTGGCTTAACCTTTCTGAGCTTCAGATTTCTCATTATGGGAATCACCTCTGCCTTTTAGGGTCTTTGTAAGATTTAGAGCTAGTGTGTGTAGATTGTCTTCCCACTCCTGGAGGGGCGGGGTGAGATTCGTTCTCCTGTATTGCCTTCACTGTAGGTTTGGTGAAGATCCATTTTTCTTTCCTCAAGTAGCGAACTGTCCTATTGCAGGTCAGGGTTTATCAGCCTCAGCACTGTTAACATCTGGGGCTGGATCATTCTGAGTTTTAGGGGGAGCTGTCCTGTGCACTCACGTTTAGCAGAGCCCCTGGTCAGTAGCACCCACCTCCTCGACTTGTAACAAACAGAAGTGTTTGCAAACATGACCAAATAGCCCTGGAGCCAGCAACGGGAAACACTGTCCTAGCAATAATTCATACTAGTCATACCAACATGTATCCAATACCTAGTCTGGGCCAGGAATATATTGCTATTAAGACTAACAGGATACTTGACCTCATGAAGATTCCCCTCCTCCCCCTCCCCGTTTGGATAGAGCCAGGCTGCTGACCTAGAGGTGCTGCAAAGATGTAATAAGACTTGCAACTGCCTGAACCCCGGTGTGTGGATAAGCCAGTGTCTGCAGTGTGATGGGTCTGAGAACCGAGTGTGGGTGCTTGGGGAGAGGTGAGCCTGGGCAGGGACAGCTGCAGCTGGAGGGGTGGAGAGAAACCAGGAGGTCTGGGCAATGAGGGGCGGGCGGGGAGGGGCCATGCGGGGCCCTGGAGGAAAATGTGCAGAAGAAGCAAGCCAGGGGAAGGGGTGCTGCAAGGAGAGCCAAGGGCAGTGGGAAGATGGGCCCCAGATTGGAAAGGACAGAGAGCCAGGGGTACAGAGTGACAGGGCGGGGTGGAAATGGGAGAGGCACAAACGAAGGATAACCAGACAGACACGTGTGTTTTGGTTATAAAGGGTTAAAACAGAAGACAAAGGCTGAGGCTCCACTTGCCAGGAGAGTTCAGTGCCAACCTCCTCCCCGCAGAGGGAGGGACAGGGACGGCCACCGCAGCCATGAAGGAAATGAGGCTTCTGAGTCTCCCTTTGCGCGGTGTTATTACAGTAATTGCAGCGACATATTAAACACATTTGTAAGCAGCAGAGGGGAGCGTAGAAGACGATTGGCTCAGCCCTGGGTGCCCACCCCAAGGGAAGTGCGAGTGGAATCAAGTTGAGAACATTTGCCCAACATGACCGAGCAGCTCTTGAAACATCCTGCAACCATTACTGCAGCCTGAAAGCACACGTGAATGGACTTCCGGCAGAGCAGCGACCTTCTCTGGGAGGAGCAACCGACTCCAGATGACTACCCGGCATCACATAAGGTGCATTTGCCACGTTTCAAAACTGCTAACACCTCACCCTGGCCGGTGTGGCTCAGTTGGTTGGGCATCATCCCGTGCACCAAAACCTTGCTGGTCTGATTTCTAGCCAGGGCACGTGGCAGGTTGCGGGCTCAATCCCCCATAGGGGGAGTGTAGGAGGCAGCCGATTGATGTTTTGCTCTCACATCGATGTGTCTCTTTCTCTCTCCCTCTAAAAAAAAAAAAAAAAAAGCTACCATCTGGAATCTCGAGCCCACCCCTCTGGGAGCCTCTGACTTTATTAGAGCCTATCAGAGTAGCAGAGGAACTGCGCTGTCGGACGCGATGGGTCACGTTCCTGGTTCCACAAAGATCTTCCACAGCTCCTGCAGCAAACAGAGAAAGACGAGATTCCCCAGATGCCCTGAGGAGGCTTCCCAATCTCATAAGGGACATCATTAGCAAAGAACAAACAACACGTGTGCCAGGGGCAGCAGGCCAGCTACTGCGGGAGCGGGTCCTTCCCCACATCTCTGTGCCTGGGCTGTTCTCTCTGCTTCACTGTGGAGAAGCGATGGGTAGGTCCCCGCAGTCCAGGAGGCATCAGATGCCACACGGGCAATAGGAACCAGGAAAGGCCAGCAAGCCGCCACAACTTCTCCACCTGGGCAGGTCTTTAGTGCCCTGTACCGTGGCTGCAGGTGGAGAAGGTACAACAACACACCATGTTCTCAGTGGGAGCTCCATGTCCTGTTTGCTGTGTACCGGGAGGCTGACAAGCAGCAAGGCTAAGGGGCAGGGAGGCTGCCCAGAGGCAGTGGAGCAGTAGAGAGAGGTGGGAACTGGACAGGGAGGACTAACAGGGTGCATCTGAAATATGCTGTTGCAGAAGAGCTCTGCGAATAGCCTGGGCTGCCAGAAAGATGAACACGTGGGTCTTAGAGCAAATTGAGCCTGAAGCACTGCTGGAGGCAGACATGACCCAAATGAGCCACCCTACTTCAGGCACATCATGAGGCAGGGTTCCTTGAAAAGACAGGAATGCTGGGAAAAATAGAAGGCAGCAGGAAAAGAGAAAGGCCAAATATGAGAGGGACTGACCCCATGAAAGAGGCCATAGGCCTGAGCAGGGCTGCTGAGGATGGGACACTGGATAGCACTCAGTCACAGGGCCACCAGGACTCAGAGCCCAGTCAACAGCTCATCACATGCACACCTCCTCGCTCATGGAAACCACGCTGATGCAGAGCTGTGCTTACTCTGGGGACAGGACAGGAGTGTGGGGGAGAGGGCCTCCTCCTCCCCTTTCCTTCTCAGAACCAGGCTCGGGTCTCCAGACCCAGTGAAAGGGAGGCCACAGCCCGAAGGTAACAAACAAAAGACGTGAATTCTGGAGCTTTGGACGCCTGTGAATCCTGCTCCTGGTAACATTACAGGATTTTCAAGTTTTCTCCAAGTGCTGGGCTTAGAAACAGTAACAGAGGTCAGTGGCTGTAGGCTTAAGCCCCAGCTCTGATGCTCCCCGGCTGGGTGACTCACCGTGACATTAACTGAGACAGGGATGATGTCATCGGGATGATTACTAAGAAGCCTAATATGGTGGGACCCCATTGTGGGGTCAGAAGGTCATCAGTCACCACACAAGCCTGCCTGGTCTGCAAGGCCAGCACATTTCCCCTTTGAAGGTGCCACAATCAGCACCGGAAGTCCCTGCACCAAGATCTTCAACCCAATCGAGTGGCTCCCACCGCTGAGCCCCAGCGGCCCACGGGAAGGACTGCGCTGTAAGGTGACCCTCACCTGCAGGCCCACCCTGCACATGTGACTCGTAGGAGCGGGGAGAACCCCTCACAGGCTTCCCTAAAGAGAGCACGTTGTCGATTCCACAGCGCCCCCAGAACACTCACCAGCTGCCGGATGCGCTCATACTCCAGGCGCTGAGGGAAGGCGGCTTCCACCGGCTCCACCGTGAAGTGCAGCTGGCCGTCCCGGAGCTGCTCCAGCTGCCGCAGGCAGGCGCGGAAGTGGTCGTAGGCCTCGCAGGTGACGTCCAGGTGGCTCAGCGTGAAGTTCAGCCTGCAAACAAGCAGCCCACACACACTGCCGTCCCCACTGGGAAGGCTCAGGCGTCCCCTCCCTGTGGGCCTTCCAGGGGTGGGTTTTCCCTGAGTGCCCACTGGTTGCTGAGCATCTGTGTGCTGCCTGCCGGGGTCTGCAGGGCGACCAGGGAGGTGGACACGACTACCACCTCCACTTTACAGCTGAAGGCACGTGCCCAAGGTGGCCTAGCAAAGGGCTTGGAGAAGGCTGTGCAGTGTGTAGCCCTGACCTGTCACGAGATGGACGGTGCGTCAGCAGGAGCCCGAGCAGTTCAGGCCCTTCCAGCGGAACGTCCTGGAGGGGTGCGTCTGCATCAGCGAGAGGACAGAGGCCTGAAGGCCTGAGGAGACAGATGGCGGCCCGGAGGGAAGGCTCAGAAAGAGCAAAGGCCCTCGACAGTGCGGTGGCCACATGCCTCGGCTCTGGTGCACAGCCTACTAGTATGTTCAAGCCCTCGACCACATACTGACCAGCCTCGGGGTGAGTTCCCACCCAGGGGGTCAGGTAGGTTCCCTGATGTCGCTCAGACTTCCTCTCCTCACCTGAGAAATGGGTCGGCAGTGCCTACTCACAGGTGGGCTGGTGTGTGGGTGACATGAAGTGTGCAGGGCATGCAGTAGATGCTGACTAAGTGAGCATCTACTGCATGGTCTGTGACGTGTATAGATGGTGAGCCTGGCTCTCGGAACGCCAGCACCTCCCCCCTCCCGCCACCCTCTCCCCTCCTGCTCATCTGGCATGGAGCTTACCTCTTCTCCACAGAGAGAATGGCTGTGCAGGCGTTTTTCAACTTGTGAGTGAGTCGGAAGAGAGTTTTAAACAGAGCATCAGTTAGGTCGTCGTCGTAGACCACTGCAGGGAAGAAAACGGGCATTGGGGAAAACGTGCGAATACCAGAGAGATCTGTTCCTCAGAGGACCCAGGCCACCACGGACGAGTCCTGATGAACCGGAGCATCGGTTCTCAGAATTCACCCTGCACGGAGACCTGGGGACGTCCCGGGGAGGTGCTGCAGACAGAGAGGACGCCGAGCGAGCGGTGGGATGCTGCGAGGCTCTGTGACAGTGACACTGGCTGTGAGGGGCCGGTATTCTCACCTTCGGCCGCGAGCAGTATGGTGGTATGGTCGTATAGGTCGGAGATGTCCTCTTCCGACCAGCTGAAGGGGACCTCCGGGTCTGGGAGCAAAGGAGAAAGGGTGTTTTGTGCTCTCTCCTATCTCTGGCCACCAGCTCTCACTGAGAGTCAGACTGAGAGGCTGCAGAAGAAATGGGGTTTGGGCCACTCGGGGCAGCAGGCACTGCCAGGCAGCCCCGAGTCCCAGCACCCCAGCCTCAGGGACACGGCTGCCTATGCGGGACCCACAGTGAGAGAGGTGCCCTCCCGAAGGGGGCAGTGCAGTGAGTGGGGACGGGAAGACTAGGCCTCACCCTCTGCCTTGCCCGCAGCCTGTGCAAACATGACCCGTCCCGTGTCCCTGGCTCTCAACCCATGTTCACTATGTGACCCCGAGAAAGGGCTTCACCTCTTGTTTCAGGGTCCACACTAGACGGCTCCCTCAGAGGATGGCTGGGAGGGGACAGGACCTAAGGTATGCCATGTGCTTGGTAGGTGACAGGTACTCCACAAGCAATGGTTTTCCCTGCCTGACGTCTTAAAGGGAAAAGTTGTCGTCCAAAGAAAGAGCAAGCCTAGAGGTCTGAAACAGTTTATATAAGGAATTCAGAAAACCCTCACCCAGAGCCCTGAGGCCATATGGCTGGCTCCCTGCTGTGGGAGCCCTGGAATCGGAGACGTGGTTCACACCTGATCCCCTGGGTGGGAACTCACCCCGAGCATGGGTCTCCACTCATTACGCAAGGGTTCACACCTGCTGCAGTGACACTGTGGAGTCTGAACACCATGAATGGAAGGTGCCTGGCATACAGCAGGTGCCCATGAATATCACCTGTCACTTGCAGCCAATGAAGGGAACTTCCTGTGAGCTCTGGACCGTGGCAGCAGCCTGGATCTGCTGTCAGTCAAGGTCACAGGACCACTGGCCTTGAGATATTACCAGGAACCACTGAATCAAATGGGACACGAGAGGAAGACACACACCTGTGCAGAGGTCGTCTTTCAGCCAGTCCAGTTCTCTGACCTTAACTCCTTTGCCTGTAAAACAAACAAACAGAACTTGCCAAGCTCTGCAATTAGGAAAAAGATTTACACTGTACACCAAAACCCATCCATCCATCCATCCTCTCACCTCCTTTATCCTCCTACCCTCCTTTCTATCCATCCATCTTCCCACTCTTCCATATATATCTTCATCTAGAAAGGTCACTCTGGATGCCATATATATATATATATATATATATATATATATATATATATATATATATATATTTTCTGTTTTCCTTCCTTCCATCCATTCACCCATCCATCCAGCATTTTTTGAGTGCTGAGTATTAGGTCCCATACCAGACATAAGGAATACAAAGATTTATGAGACACATGCCTGTCCCTGGGGACCCGCAGCTGAGAAGACTGGTACGTTAGCAGACACGGACAAGGCAGGGAGGGGGTCAGGGCAAAGTTAAAGGGATGTGAAGGTGCCCAGGAGGTAAGAGGGGCTCATGTCAGACAGGGTGTTGGGGAAGGCCCAAAGGCAATCATGCCTGCTTCGTCCTTTGCCCTACTGACTCGTTACTGTACACTGAGCACTAAACAAACACCACAGTGGTGGGGATCACAGACAGGGCCCCTGCCCTCATGAAGCACGTGGTCTAATGGGATGGCCGACACCAACCAGTCACATCAACAAATGTCAAATGCAATGGCCCGAGGTGTCATGAGTGTCTGTGACCTCATCTGGAGCTCAGAGCATAATTAGGAACTGAGGGAGGAAGAGAAGACCATTCCAGGCAGAGGAAGCAGCAAGTGCGCAGGCCTCAAGGCGAGGCGAACCTCCAACAAGGCCAGGGACTTGGCTGGAGAAAGCACTGCGTGGAAGGGGCTCCAGACAGGTAAGGCCAGATCCTGCAGATCTCAGACAAGCAAACAAATTCGGTCTGTACTCAGAGGGCATCGGGAAACCTATAAAAGGCTGGCAGCTGGAATAACCCGATCTGAATCTTGAAAAGGACTCAGGCTGCTCAGAGGACGAAGGTCTGCACAGGCAGTTCAGTGAGGAGTTGGCTGCTGGCATGTACCTTGTAAGCTTATTCTCGAAGGTGGTGCAGAGCTGGCAGGGGTGACATTCCAACAGAGGGAGGGGCGTTTGAAATGGGTCCTTGGCTCACTGAATGCCGGGCTGGAGTGGGACCATCAGGAGAGGAGGCAGGAGAGGCAGCAGGGAAGGACCAGGCGGTTTGGGAGCCAGAGAAAGAGCTCGAAGTTTACCCCTTGAAGAGGTCAGGCTTCATCTAGAAAGGTCATTCTGGATGCTACATGGAGGACAGCTTGGCCGGGTCAGACAAGGAGCTGGGTCAGGAGGGAGGGGCCCCTGTGACGTGCAGGAGGGAGAGGCTGACGCTGGATGGGGCATGGGCGTGGGAAGGAGGTGCTGCAGGGACAGTCATCTAGGATCTGAAACTACGTGAAACTAGAAAGCTCTGCTCCCTGCATTCACCGGGGTGTAGAGGGAAGCATGCGGAAGCCCGTCCACAGTCCTGGGTGTTTGTACCACTTGCCAAACAGGGACACCTCCCTCCAGGCTGGGCCTCACCTCCAGAGGCAGTCAGGTGGCTGTTGAGGGCAACGTTTCGCTGGCACGTGGCCAAGAGGTCCGCACCGACATCTGGAACGACAGAAGGACCTGCCGTCAAGCACCGGCCACAATGACGTTTTATTTCCGGGTCGTTGCCTGGAGAGCTGATATCAACAGCTTGACTACAGAACGTGCAACACCGAGGCTAAATGTCTCCTGTGTGCTTTACTGCCCAAATTAACTCTGTACCTCAAGGCTCTCTTTAATGAGCTTTCCTTTAAGTAAGAGACGTTGTCCTGGTGGAGACAGACTCTACACGCCAGAGGGAAGGGTGAGCTCCCCTTCTCTAGTTTCTGACACCTGCCCGGCACATCCCACAGCCACGCTGAGTGTTTCTAACCACCCACAAGCCGGGACCCCGGCTCCTTTCCCACTGAGGTCAGGCCACTAGTTAAGAACAAGGGCCGGGATTTTTTGAACCTAGGTGTCTCTGACTCCAAGTCTGGGCTCACTCTTTGACACTCCAGAAAACTGACCAGAGTTAGAAGGGTGTTTGGATGTGATTAATGGATACACAGAGCAAATTCAAACAGGCTGGAGGCTGCTCTCCTGTGCATGATTCACTGCCACTGCCACGGCATCCTTCCCCAGCCGCCTGCTACTCTGACCAGGTGGGTTTCCTATCATTTCAGCAGGACTGAGATGCAGGATGGTGTGTGTGTGTGTGTGTGTGTGTGTGTGTATGTGTGTGTGTGTATGTGAGGCTGAGGGGTATGTGTGTAGTGCTGGGCCAAAAAGTTACTTTCCAATTCAAACATGTGTGTGGAAGGTACAAAGTCTTGTTAAGGACACCTGCCTGGCCACTGTGGCTGTGACGCCCCATCCCGCCCACTGCAGACTCCCTGGGACCAGACTACTGTCCCTCTCCCAGGACCGTGCAGAGTCCAGTAAAGGGAAGAGCTCCCAGCTCTCCGAGGGCACATACCTGCCCCTGCTCCGGGCGACCGGGTGGAGAGGATAGGATATTGATGGTGTGTATTGCCTGACAGCACAAAACTGGTTCAGAAGTTTTTAACCCTTTGATAGTTTTTGTCCAAACAGATCTTGTGAGGGACTCTAATATATGAAAGAAAGGGGCAGCTCTGCCTGAGTGGGATGGGACCCTGGAGCCCTGGGGTTGTTCCCCCACCCCTTACTGCATATGACCTTGGCCAGCTCTTTGACCTTAGCCTCAGTCTGCCCATTTGGACAAAGGGATGGTAACATGCCCAGGGCCACTCACTGTGAAGTTAGGAGCAGGTCCTGCTGTACACAGAAGGTTTTATTAACTCTAAGGTGCCATCCCTGGGCACGCTCCCTCTCAGGGATAAGTCACCTTGATTACATCCTGCTATGAGGCACCAGCTATGAGAACACAGCTCTGGGTATTGCATTAGGTGTGACTCTGAGAAGTGCTCACTGGCAATCTGCACGGAAGTGTCAAGGAGCCTCAAACAGGGTGGCTGCCTGCACACTTCTGACTCGGTTGACTTAGGATATCCGAATAGCATGCCCAAATCACAGACCATCCCTAGTTTCCTCTTCTCTGTCTCAGGAGCAAGAGATGCAGCCCATGAAAATGGGACCCAGGAACCAATGAAAGGCAAACCACCTCAGCAGGCACCGTTTTCAACTAGTAGACATTAAGGGTAGTACTTACCCGATGAGCTAGCACTGTCTTATAACTGCTAACACTCTCTACAAGAGCAGGCTGGGCATATCAGGAGGGTAGCAGACAGTTGCTCATGTCAATTTGCTGGTTTTCAGCAACTAGGTTATGTAAGATGTTATTATTGAAGGGAGCTGGTGAAGAGTGCATGGCACTTGCTATAATATTTTAGCAACTTCTGTGTGAGTCTAATGTTATTTCAAAATTAAAAACTAAAAAAGCAATTGGCAACATGTATCAAAAGCTTAAGAAAGGGCACAATTGTGCCATAGGAATCTAGTCTAACAATGAACAAAGGTGCTCATTGCAGTGTAACTGACAGATACAAAACAAACAAAAATATCACGGAGACAACCAAAATGCCCAGCAAAAGGAAAACGAGAGACACATCAACTGGTTGCCTCCCACATGTACCCTGACTGGGGCTGGTGACTGAGCTTGCAGCCGAGGTATGTTTGACCAGATCTGAACCGGAGACCCTTTACTGACTAGGGCATCACTCTCACTTTTTTACAGTCAGTACACGCTTTGTGAAGAGATGGCTTCCCGTCAGGCTGAGGCAGTGGGTATTACCTGTACAATACACAGTCTGCGCCGCGGTGGCTGCAATGATGCTGGTGAACCCCGTGCCCGCCCCGAGCTCCAGCACGGTGCGACCCTGGAAGAGGTCCCGTTGGAACAGGATATAATCAGCCAGGAACAGGGCACCCCGCCACACCTGGAGGGAGATGGACAAGGAACGACAGGCGACGTGAGGCTCCGGAGAGACCCTTCAGGGCCACAGGAAGTGGATAGGACCTACCCACCTGCTTGCCAACATCCTCCAGGGGCGTGGCCATGGTGTGTTCTACAAAGGATGGAAATCAAAAGAGAAAGGGCCGCTGTGAAAATGGGGATGGACACAACACAGAGGAGGAGCATGGCAAGCTGCACACGTAGTGGGATGGGCACTAGGGTCGGGCATCTAGAGAGCAGCAGAAACATAAGTTGTGCCACCAGCTGAGAGGGATATCTGAGCATCGCTCTCAATCTAGGCACCAGGGCCCCCTCTCAGAGAGCTGGAACCCCAGCCTGAGGACCAGGTCACAATCGGTCTTGGCTCAACCTAATCACACACAACAACACTCCACTTTTTATGTTTAATAACTGTTTACTAGAATTGTCGCCTTAATGTTGCTTTAATTAAGTGTATGCTTATAATAATCATAGCTTATTTCCTTACACTTAGAACCACACGAGAAGTTGACAAAATAAGCTTTGAGTTTTACATTCTTTTCTGGGTGAGGAGAAGCATATAAGAAGTATTTGCAAGCACTAAATATGTAAGGGTAAAATCTGGTGGTGGCAGTTGGGGGCAGAGAATAGAAATATGAGACCAAAGAGATAAAGGGATGATGGCAAATATGTTTGCTGTTAAATAAGAACTGGCTCTTATATTTTTAAGCGGGATGGCGATGGCTATCACACTTAAACACACAACACATGCACAGCAGGGTAGCTTCACACACTTACTGGACGGGCAAGAGTCAAACCCCAGGCTCAGGACTGAGGGACTAAGGAGGGGAGGAGACAGCCAGGTTGGAAGGAGTGTGGGTGATGCTCCCCACAGGAGGGCCTGCCCTAGGAGATCCCTCAGGACGGATGCCTCCCCTGAGCCAGGCCTGGGGCTGGGGCAGGGGATTTTACGTGACCCTCACAATGGCCCTGTGCGTAGTTATCACCAACCCGATTTACAGATAAAGACACTGATGTTTCTATCTCTCTCTCCCTTCCTCTCTGAAATAAAAATATAATAATAATAATAAAAAGAAAGGTGAACTTTTGGCACCGGGAGACAGGGCGATGGGTGGGTGGGGAGCAGGCCACACGCCAGCCCCTTCCTGTGAGACCTGATTTTTTGCTTGCAGGATGGTAAGTTCCCAGAACACTAAACACATGCACACCAGAGGCCAAACACTTAGGAAATAACCAAGTCTGCTTCTCTTCCCCTGACCACGCCCCAACCCCTGCAGAAAGGCCAAGTGAGGACTGAGAGTGAAATGAGCCAATGAACCCGCATCACCCCCCGCCCCAAACAAAAATTTGCAATGTTTTGATCACATAACGTGGGTAAGAACCCAGGCTGTGGCATCAGACAGACCTGGGTATGAATTATGACTCAGACAAGTTTGATGTCTCTGAGCCTCAGTTCCATCCTCTGTGAAACGGGAATATTCATCCTTGGAAAGGCTGCGAGGACCAGAAGTAATGCACAGGACACACAGTACTGGCATGAACTCCGTGTCTGGACTTGCTGCGACCAGCCTTCCGGGTGCCAGCAGGCACTCAATAACGGACTGTTAACATGTGGGCAGGTGGCTGTCAGAGCTGCTAATCTGTCTGTCCGTCTGTCCCCAACCATGCCCAGGTTTATTTGGGTCCTCAAGCACCATTAGGGACCCTGGATCTCAACGAACAGACTCAAACCAGAGCTCCTCTCCCCAAAATGAGCAGTGCTGGGAGTGATAAGAGTCCTGGCTGTGGAGACAGATAACATGGATTCATTGCCAAACACCATGGCCTTGGGCTTGTCACTTCCTCATCCATACTCCCCTCAGAGTGGCTGTAAGGTGATGTAGGTAAAATATCAGAACACAACAGGTGTCTAACAAGCACTGGCTCATTCCTGCCCGGATCCATAAAGATCCTGGCACTTTCAGGGATCTGAAATCCTGGCGTCACCAAAGCCCTCTGCTCCACCCCATGCCTGAGGTAAAGCCTCTTTCTGGACCCATGTCTCCTGCTACTGTCACCTCTCCTTCCCCAACTGGCTCCCAGCTCCCCGTTCCCCACTCCCAGTCCATCTGACAGGCCCACAAACTCCTCCAGATTAATCCTGGATCTACCTCCCTGCCCCTGTGCCACACTCCAGCTCCAAAATCTCTCATGGCTCCCACACCACCAGCATGCCAGCTGCGTCAGAACATCAATGTGGGAGGCAGAAGCCGAGGGCTTCCTGGAGGAGGTGATGGCCAATGCTACAATTCCCTAGCCCGGGCCTGAACAGAGCCAGCCGCAGACACATGACCCGATCCATACTGTGGTGCCGCCATGGTGGCAGAGGAGCAAGCCCTTTATTTACCTATTTTGATGACATTGTGGGTGCTGCTCTCCTGCGCTTCGTCTCCCAGGACGTCCTCTTCTTCCTGCGCTAGAATCATGGGATGTACCTTGTCTCTCGGAGGCCGTACAGGGTCGGGGTCAGAGGCAGCTCGTGGTCTTCTCACAACATCCAAATCGCCATCCTCGTCCAGCTGAGCTCCAGGCCCTTCCTGTCCAGTGGCATGGACACTGGCCTGGAGGGGAAAACCTGCAGCGCTCTGGCCACTCCTTGGAGGGGACCCGGTGCTGCCTGTCCCAGCAGGAGTCTCCTCTATGGGAACATCTCTATGATCACCTCCCATAGGCCCCGAGTCTGTCTGAGAGTCCTGGGTCCACAAAAGCTTGAACTGGGACAGAAAAACTGAAAGACAGAGCACAAAAGGAGACTACTTCTTTCTCCCTTCCTCTCCTTTCAGGAAGCTTGATTTCTAGAAAGAAACTTGGATTTCCTTGTAAAGGCCAGGTGGAGGCATATAAATGCCAGTGGAAAAGGCCCGTTTGATTCAGCCATGACACTGAGGACACAGCAGCCGAAACCACCACCGAGGAGAGCTACATGTGATGAGCATGGACAAGGTAGGCACTCTGCCCACATTATCTCACTTAATGCTCACAGTGGCTATGAAGACAGCAGTAATGGTGCCATTTAAGAGACATGGAAACTGAGGCTGAGAAGTTAAGCGAGCCCACAAGGTGTAGCTGAGGCTGAGGCAAGACTCACACCTGGTCTGCAGGACTCCTAAGCGGATGCCCTGCTCACTACCCTCTTCCACTTGAGGTCTGGTGGATGGGACAAGGATACCAAGTGTTCCTCACCGTTTGCTGGCCAGAAAGTCACTGGGACAAGTTTCAGGAAGAGAATGTGTGTGTCAGGAGAGGTGGGCTGGAGGCGGGAGGCACAAGGACCTGAGTGGACAGTCCTCGGCTGGAGTCCTCCATCACCCAGGCTGCTCGACCCTGGGCAAATCACGTATCTATTCTGAGCCTCAGTTTCCGGATTCCAGGAATCCAAATTGAGACAAGAGGAAAGGGGAAGTTCTTAAGTCACACCACAGACTCACAAGCTAATTATACAGTGATTGGAGCTGGGAAGGGTGGCCAGAGAGGGTCTGTCTGACGTGACATCTGGGGAGTCAGGGCTAAGAGGAAAGAATGTTCTGGGCAGAGTGAACAGCAAAAGCAAACGCACTGAGGAAGGCAGGTGTGTGTGATGTGTCAGGGGCAGGAAGGGGTAGAAAGGGGCCACAGAGCAGTAACAGAGAGGGAAATAAGTGTGGACCCACAGGCAGGGGCTCAGTGAACTGGGCCTTGCAGAGATACCAAGGAGCCTGCTTTTACTCTAAGAGCCAGGGGAAGCCACTGGATGTTTAAATCAGGGCAGCGATGTGATCCACATTTCCAAGAGACCCCCTTGGCCCCTGGGGAGATGAGTGGGGGAGAGTGTAGGGGAAAAGCCAGGGAGCCCCAGGGGGAGGAGCTAGAAGCAGCCAGCCAGGGATGAAGGGTGCTGGACTGGGGTAGGGGCAGAGGGGATGGAGGGCAGTGCTCAGGAGCAGGGCCCTGTCTCCCGGTTGGACTCTAGGCAGAGCTCGGCCCATTCACTTTTGCCTGGCCCACAGCGGGTGCTCAGTAAAGCAGTTTACTCTGGGAAAGAAAGCACTTCATGGTGTGATGGTAATAGTTCATCCAGTCTTCCCAATCTTTCCCCCCACAAAATGAGTACGAGAAAACAAACTGGGGTCCTGAGGGTGCCAGGCCCCTCCACACACACACCAGGTAGGACCTTACCGGGCTGCCCCATGCTGTTCAGCCGCACCATGAGGTGTCTCTGGTTGGGGGTGTAGAGATGGACGTCGGAGAGCACTGTGTCACTTCTGAAGGTGACCTCGTCCATGGTCAGGGTGGAAGCCAGGCACCAAGACCCTGGCTCCACTCTGATTACAAAAGAGCAGCACCTGCGAGTGGACAACAGGCTCTCAGGACAGCAGGCCCCTGGGAGGCGAGGGGAAGGCAGCATAGACTAAGCCCGCCCACCAGGTGGGTAGCAGCTCAGTGTCACCTGGGGGAAGTGCTTTCCTCTTCCCTTCTTTTAATTTTTCCTAAAGAAAACTAGCTGGGAGCTCTCCCCTTTATCAGGCTCTGCACCGTCCTGGGATGGGGACAGGAGTCTGGTCCCAGGGAGTCCCTGAGCCTGGGCAAAGGGAAAAGAATCAGCCTAGAATTGTGTTATTTTGTTTGTATCTGTGTTTATTTTCCTGGTAATCTCTTACGTTTGGCATAAAGTTTCCTTTCCCTTTTAATTTCTTACAACTTTATTATGAAGATTTATTTTAAAGTATATTTTATTGACTTTTTACAGAGAGGAAGGGAGAGGGATAGAGAATTAGAAACAGATCAGCTGCCTCCTGCACACCCCCTCCTGGGGATGTGCCTGAAACCAAAGTACATGCCCTTGACCGGAATCAAACCCGGGACCCTTCAGTCCACAGGCCGAGGCTCTATCCACTGAGCCAAACCGGTTTCGGCTATTATGGAGATTTTTAAACAGACAAATAAGTTGAGGGTCTGGCATGAAAGCACGTACCCACTGCTTAGTGATTCAATGATCAACATTTAGTCACGTGCTCGCTCTATCGATTCTTGGCTGAGAGCGAGGAGTTGGGCTTCAGGGCCGAGGGAGGGTTTCAAGACAGGACTTGGTGCCAGGAGACCCCCGCACCTGACCTCGCCCCGCCACCTCCCCGCAGGCTTACCGGCTCCGGGCCAGGCCGCAGCCTGGAGTCCCACCCGACCCTGCCACGGAGGGGCTCAGACGGCCGCCATCGCAGGCGGCCTGCGCAGGCGCGGTCCCGCCCCCTCTGCTTGCGTGGGGCCGCCCGGCCCCCTGACCACGCCCACCTGCTCGCGCTGCGCCTGCGCACGGGGCCCGCCGGCCGACACCTGCAGATCTGGTTCTGGGCTCCAGGGCTGTGCAGTGCTCACCTGCCTGGGTGTTCTGGGGCGCCCGCCTGGGGGGAACCGGTCTGCGTGTGGGGTCATTGGCTACTGAGTTGAGAGGCTTTGATTCCGGCTTGAAGAGGGCTTAAGAGCGTGTGCTGTTAGCCAGCATGACAGTTGGTTATTAATTATTATCATCCTTGCTCTTGGTACTCATTGTTAATAGCTGGTAGTTCTTTCGTTAATTCGTGCAGAATCTCAGTCTGAATTAGTCTAATAGGAAATGAAATCCGATTCATATGTTGTACTTAAAGTGAACTTCCAAGCACGTAGGGCCACATATATAAAATATATGTTTGCGCGGAAGCACACACACAGCCCCTTCACTGGCTCCCTCTGTCCCTCTGTCTTAATTATTTTAAAACGTAATTCTCTTTTCAAGGCAAAAGAGGGTAAACATCAATTTCATGGTTACTGTTGATAATACACGGTGGGGTGGGAAGTGTTTATTGGGTGACCAAGCAACACAGATTTTTCTTAAGCAAATAGATCGTGTTTCCTGAACTCCTCAGGACAGTACATGGAGAGCCGGGTGGCCACCTTGGGAGCCCGTTGTGGTCCTGGTTCAGTTGTCCCCAGGACTCTGCCTAACAGAACTGGGATGCAGACTCAGGTGCCCGAAAGTCTGTCGGGTGGAGTTGTGAGTGAAAGACCTTTTTAGAACTCTCCCTCTGAGTGTCCTCCAAGACTTGGAGATGCCAGGGTTATGGTGCCAACTCACTTATGCTGGAGTGTACATGACCATGGCTGCCTGGGCTAATGAGATCATGTAGCAACTAAGGGAAGTTGGACAAACTGCCAGATGTGTGACAAACTGCCAACTTGCAGGGATTTGCTGTCAGGTGATTATTATTAGCTTGGGAATGTAAAACAGCCCCTTTCCCAAATGTCGTGTTTACCAAGCACTAATGTGTTTTCCCAAATCAGCCCTAGAAGATTTTGTTCTCTTGGAGAGAGCTCCTCCCATAGGGCTGCTGAAAACAGCAATTATAATCTGTCCGCTTCTCACAGCAGCAGCTGCAGATTGCTGCCCTGGTTCCTGGTTTTGTGTGGACAGGCATCAAACTGATCTTCAGGTGGTTCAGATCCCCAGCTTGGCCACTGATCAGATTCACTTGTTCAATACATAATCACGGAGAGCTTTCATGTGCTAGGCACTCGGGCAAGTTACCTTACTTCTCTAAAATATAATTTTCTAATTTTCCAAGTTGTGAAAATAATACCTTCTTGGAAATGTGCCAGTGAGTGAGACATAACATGTGGAAAGTTCCAGGCAAACTCTTTCCCACTTCTTGAGGTGATCTGACAGTATCTGATGTATTTTAAAGAATTCACTAATTTCATTAATTTTGCCAAGTAGTATTGCTAGATTAAAAAGAAAGCAGTTACAGTGGCATAATACTGTATAATATCTATATTAATAAAAGGGTAATATGCTAATTAGACCAGGATACCTTCTGAGTCCTTCTGGACAAAGCCATGGTGGCGGGGCTGAGGCATAGGCTATTAGGGGTGATCAGGTCAGGAAGGGAGGGCAGTTGGGGGTGAGCAGGCTGGCAGGGGAGACAGTTTGGGGCAATCAGGTTGGGGGGGCAGTTGGGGAGGGAATGAGAAGGCTAGTAGGCAGAGTGGTTAGGGGCGATCAGGCAGGGAGGCAGGTGAGTGGTTAGGAGCCAATGGTCCTGGATTGCAAGAGGGATGTTTACCCAGATTGGGAGGGTGCAGGCTGGGCTGAGGGACAACCCTCTCCATCCATCCCCCATGCACGAATTTTGTACACCAGGCCACTAGTCAGTTACTTAAGAGAAAAAAAAAACCTCACAAAATACTGCATTTTGTCAGGACATGCATGTTATGAAAATGCACAGAGAAAAGTTTGGAAAGATGCCTTCAAACTAAAATGGTTTCTTCTTGGGAGGGGGCGTGGATGGACAGGGGGAGGTCCACAGAGACTTTGTTTTAATTTTTAAAGAGATGCATCATGTGTTACTTGTATAGTTAGAAATTTGCTTAAAAATGAAAGTGCAAAAGAGCTTTCACTAGTCAAATGTGGGACAATATGAGCATTGACATGAATAGTGACAAGAATATAATACTAACAATAGTCTATGCAAATGGCACTCAAACAAATGGGCCTTTATCTCTGTGGACAGCTCTGACAAAATGTCATAGACTGTGCGTGGTTTACAGATGATAGAAATTGATTTCTCACAGTTGGAGAGGCAGGAAGTCTAAGATTAGGGTGCCAGCACGGTCAGGTTCTGGTGAGGCTCTCTTGGGTTGACACAAACATTCAGACCATAGCATACAAATGTTTATCAGAGCACTAAAATAGCAACCCAAATGTCTATCAACTGAAAAATAGATAAATAGAATGTGGTAACCCATGCAATGGAATATTTTTTCAACTCTAAAGTGGAACTAAGTCCTGATACATGTTACAGTGTGGATGAATCTTGAAAACATGAAGCCAAATGAAACAAGCCAGACCTAAAAGGCCACATGTGGTATGATTCCACTCATATAAAATATTCAGAATAGACAAATCCACGGAGACAACAAGCAGATAAATGGCTACCAGAGGCTGGGGAAGGAGTGGAGAGTGACTGCTCAATGGGTAGAAATGGTCTTTTGGGCGAGGAAGATGTCTGGGAACTAGGCAGAGGTCACAGTGGTGCTTGCATAACATTGTGAAAATACAAAATGCCACTGAATTGTACAATTTATGATGGTGAGTGTTAATATTACTTTCATAGACAAAGCCACGAGTTCATAACGATACTAAAATAAAAATGTTAAAGAAAGGGGTGGATGAAAAGCTGTGATGAGTAATGGTAGAAGGATGGATAGGGCTAGAAAAACACTCTTTAAAAAAAACGCATATATTTTATTGATTTTTTTTTAGAGAGGAAGAGTGAGGGATAGAGAGTTAGAAACATCAATGAGAGAGAAACATCTATCAGTTGCGTCCTGCACACCCCCTACTGGGATGTGCCCACAACCAAAGTACATGCCCTTGACTGGAATCGAACCTGGGACCTTTCAGTCCTCAGGCCGACACTCTATCTACTGAGCCAAACTGGCTTTGGAAAGAAAAACACTCTTTAAGTCATCGTGATAATGAGTGACCCAGACAAAAACCTCTGATGGATGTTAACATTGTTGGGAGGAAGACTGCTATGGGACAGGATGTTCACACAGGCACCCAGGGAGCAGTAAGTGTCTGTGGTTTGTAAGTCACCCAGCCTGTGGTGTGCTGGTATATCAGCCCGAAGGAAGCAAGATAAGATATAACTTACAGACAATAAAATCCATCGTGTAAAGTGTACAAATCAGTGGATTTAGCAAATTCACAGGTTGTACTAACCATCACCACTATCCAATTCCAGAATGTGTTCGTCACCCCCAAAAGAAACCCTGTACCCATTAGCATTTGCTCCCCATTGCCCTCTTCCCTGGCAACCACTAATCTATGTTCTGTCTCTATGGATTTGCCTCTTTTGGTATTTCATATCAATGGAATCCTACAATATGTACTATTTTGTGTGTGGCTCCTTTCATGAAGTTTAACTGTTTCCAAACTTCATCCTTGTTGTAGCACGTATCGGTACTTTGTTCCCTTTTAATAGCCAAATAATATTCCATGGGATGGATAGACCTCAGTTATTTTCCATTCACTAGAGGCCTGGTGCACAAAATTGTGCATGGGGGGAGTCCCTCACCCTGGCCTGTGATTGGGGCTGGCAGGTGGTGGTGGGGTTTAAGGGACTGCAGGAGGGTGGCCAGCCATGGGAGGGTTGGCTGTGGGAGTGTACCTACCACCAGGGGCAGCCCCTGCATTGAGCATCTGCCCCTTGGGGGTCAGTGTGCATCATAGTGATCCATCGTTCAGTTGCT